GTTAACGTACGTACGTTACTTACGTTACGTTACTTACTTACTTAACTTAACTTAACTTACTTACTACTACTACTACGTACGACGTACGTACTACTACTCTCTCTCTCTCTCTCTCTCTCTCTCTCTCTCTCTCTCTCTCTCTCTCTCTGTTTACCCATTTATGTTGGTGGCGAGCTAGATATTATTGCAAAATCACAGCCAGAGGATAATATTAGGGCCAGTGTGATGGACCACTTGATGTAAGTCTGCCACTCTGCCTCTTATACTTGAAAGTGTCAAATGCAGGGTGTGGTCCAGTGATCCACTCCCACTTACTTGGAGTGAGTCCCTCCCTTGCCCCATTACATGAGCATGGCCTCTAATCTAAAGTAAATTCAAAATACAAAAGCCTCTTTTTTTCTTATCTGAAGTAAACAAGACTGGTGGACTTACATCAAATGTTCCATCCAGAGTGGCCCTTGTATGTCCTGAGGACTTACCTAGAAGTGACTCTTTTCTATTTTGATTTTCCTGTGAAATGCTGGATGTATTTTATCTTCAATTGTTTCTTTAATGTTGCATTTGTGTAATGAAGTTATGTGATGTGGTTTTAATTTCTAACTGGAACTGTTATAATTATGATTTTGTGAGCTAAACTAAATGCTCTGTGCTAAAGATGGCTTACATCATACAACAAAATATCACATCGTGAAATGGCATTGCATCTTTCGCGATTGTTGATTATTATGACATTTCTTCATTTGGTTCATCTTGACAATAGGGCATAGCTGCTAATATTTTGGTTGTCCTACCACAGGAAAAATTGAGGATTCTGAAAGACTTCGTCCGGAGGAGTTAAATCAACAAAATATAGAGGCTCTAGTCGCCGAAAGTAACTTGGTACTCTACGAGCTGTTACCTTTCCTTCTAGTTGCTGGTGATGGTCACTTGTATACTTCATTTTGTTAGAGCAAGTTCTCTATAATATTGTAATGGGATTCTTGTAGAGGGTTATAACTTCTACTTGGACAGAGATTAGATATGCATCTCTTAATGCCTATGGTTGTATTTTCATTACTGTTACCATGGTGTGGTTTGCTTATGGAGTATTAGGATCCAAATGTTAATACAGGTATTTGAATGATGCTATGTTATGTAGATCCACTTTGATCAAACATTGATAATGAAAAATAGCTTTTCTTATGGTCGACTATTCTGTCATGTCTAAGTTGTGCTGGAGACATTAATGTACATTTCATGAAAACTGCCTGGAAAAAAGTTTAGCTAATTTCTTACTTAGATCTGAAGGAACTCTCAGTCATGTCTAAGTTGTGTTGAAGCTATTCCTGGAATTCTGCATCGCAAAGTTCGGGATTAGTAATTCCTCGCTGTCAAGGCTGATTGGAAGCTTGGTTATGTGCTGTTTGACAAGTTCCCTAGTGTTCTTCTGGTCCTCTAGGTTGTAAAAAATTACTTAAGTTATCGCTCCTTCTTGGGGACACTTGGTATTCTTTGCCACTTTGATGGATGCTTTCTATTCCATATCTGGGCTGGTTTCCATGGATTTCGTGGGTATGCCCTTAGTTTATATCTTGTGAGATTACATTTAATGTATGAAGCCATGGGTTTGATTGAGAGGATTTCTTGTCCATGATTTCACCTTTGGAAATTTGATGATCTTTATGGTCTGTTGGTATCTTCTTGTTGACTATTTGCAGAACCATTGAGCTATTGGAAGAGGTTTTTGTTGGCTGGGCATTTGTTGGAGGGTGTCAGCTTGGCTTCCTTAGGTGATGGTGATCATGATCATGGGAGTGTCGCATGTGTGAGATCCCTAACAACTTGGGTGTATACTTAGGAGGTTGGTGGAGGTGAAAGGGTATTGGGTTGCTGGTTTGATGTGGTTACGGTGTTGAAACTGCTAACATCATCCCTGATTCAAATTGCGCTTGTATATACCTAGAAAAGAGGGTGGTAAGGTTGCTAGGGGAGGTAAAGCATAGAAAAGGTTCTTTCAACTGGAATTTGAAGAAACACAAAAAGTTTGAAAAACAGAAAAATAGAGAAGGGAAAAAGTAGTTATGCTACGTTTGCACGAAATAACAAAAAAAATCCTGTAACTCCCTGCAGTGCTATTGCGACCGTGCAATAAGAAAGGGATCCGGATCCTTCTTCAAAAATAATGTAAAACACTGCTGTTTTAGTGATGTTTTACATGTTACTGTGATTTGGGTTGGTGGCTGAAATGCCTAGCATTGGGTGCCTTAAAACATATGATGTAACCCCCAAAACTCAAACACACAATTAATCATTGAGTCTAGAATCAAAGTTTTACTACCACAATCTTCATGTACTTTCATAAAATGGTGATCCAAAAATTTGATCATTTAGTTTCTCATAACTCATGCAGAACAATCTTGGGAGAATACTTTCTTGATAGAGCTATTGAACCAGTCAAGCCAGGAAGTGTGCCTCTAGATTGTAAGGATATAGGAAAAATGACTGGTTGTTTCATAAAAGATTGGAAGTACCATTGAAGAAATCGATTAAGCCAAAAGATATTCTACTCCTGCGGGACTAGAATGTTCGTTTACTCCCTCAAGTAGAACCCCACCTAGAATTAATTTTAAGACCCCAAATTTTGGGGATGTAACCTTTTCACCCAATAGATTAACCTGAATAATTTTTTTTTCCTATTCTACCCTCTATGCACTTGAAAAAAATAACGTCTTGAGATTGAATAGAGAACATCCAATTTTTAGATGGTGAGATCTAAGTGCTAGAAAACTCAAGTTTCAAATTTTTTTATGAGAATAATCACCTAGTAATTCTTAGTCCCAAAATTTCAGATTAAAAAAAATCCTCCCAAGTAGGTCTTTTGACTCAGGGAATAAAAGTAAACTATGCTCCCAAGAGAGCATAGTGTAAGTGTTTATCAATTAATTTAAGATTGAGTTCAAGTAAATGCAAGCTTCGGCAAAACTTTAACTTTGAAGAGCAGAGTGATTCATATTTTTGAAGGTACTATCAATGTGCAGTACAGATAAATGTTGCCTCCCTCTTGATGGTGATTCTAGTGCTATATTTAAAGTACATTGTAACTTAAAGGGCAAGGCAACATTTATGAAAACGCCTTTCAACACTGTTGGACGGCATTTTTGCGACGACAAATTTGTGGTTCATGGGATCCTTTGAATGCCCATTTAGGTGTGGGTGCACTCAACAAACGCTGTCCTTTTGTAATTGAGATGGAAACTGAAAAACTGAGTTCTATTCAGACTTGCAAAACACTACATTATGTTGAAATGCTAAACTCATGTTGACTAGAATGTGTGCTGCAGCCAAACTAGCTATAAAATGGTTTCTTTGGTCTTACTTTAGATGTGTTTCCTTACACATGCTGTATAAAGTCATTTATCTTGCTCAATCTAATTTCCTATTGTCCAGTGGCATAAAAGATTTGTTTCATGGCAGTTTTCTTTCATATTTGACATCATTGTACATTGTAAAGTTGCTAAAGGATTGTATTCTATTTTGCAATTGGAAAAAGTTTATCTATTCTGCTGCAACGATGATTTATAAGTTCGTGTCTTGATGCTGTACCAAAACTAATTTAAATTCTTTTATTGTTTGCAGAAAATGGATGTTCTTCCAGTGAATGACTTGGATGTTGCATTACATGATTTTGTGAACAAGGATGACAAAATGGCCTTCTATTCTTGTGTCCAATACAATCTAGAGGAGATACGTGTACGAGTTGCTCATTCTCTGATATACTCGTGTGGAAACTATTAGCTCTGTTCTGTTTTTTAAAACTGCTACTGGCAGAATTGAAACTGTTGTCATGGTCATATTTGCAGAATAAACTTACCAAGGAAGCAGATCCTCTGCAACTGAAAGAGGAGGAAGATTTGATCCTCAAAGTGGGTCACTGTATGCAGGCAAGATGAGCATCTGTTGATGGTTGAATTCGTGTTGTGGCTCTAATGCTAATCTTGTTATATTTCAAAAGGCTTTACTGACCATTATTTCCTGCAGCAACGTGAAAACGAGAGATCCTTAAGGGCCAAGGAAGGTGGCCAATCCGCATCTAGTTCCCAAATGTGGCAGGTGGTTTAACTTTATCCTTTGTCTTGGAGTCGTGTTTATAAAGGACATAAATAGCCAGAGAAAAGGTTTTTGGACCTTCTGATTTGCAGAGGATTGTTAGCATATTTATTGAGTCAACTTTTTTTATGCGAATTTTTATAGGATAGTCGAGGGAAGCGTGCAGTGGGTGTTGGGAGTTCACATACCTTCAGTGATGATGAGGATGGTGATCAGATGGCATCAAGCTTGAATGCTTCAAACACCAACAATTATTCTAAACAAAAACGTGACAGTTCTGTAGCTTCTCGAGGAGGAACTGGTAAGAGAGGCAGAGGCAGAGGCAGAGGTGGAGGTTCTAGTGGTTTGAAGCAAACGACTTTGGAAGCAACCATGAGAAGCCGCCATTCACAGAGGTTAGTGCCTAAACTGAAGCATTACTAATAAATTCTATCTTGAGGGCATTACTTGAGAATTTACATTATCCTTTCTTATAGCATTGAGTTGTATACTATTATAAAGACTTCTTGCAGATTTATGAATTTTCTTCCAGATATGTATAACTTTTGGAGAGGGATTCTCTGTTACAGTTCTGAATACCCTGCTTTTTTAGCATCTCCCAAATTCTTTGGCACCTGACACTAATTTTTCAGGAATGGGTGAATTGGCTCATGAATTGGTGAATTGTTTTGATCATGCAAGGGAATGATTTGGAATATAAAACATATGGAGAATAAAACATAGAAAATAAAAAAGTTGAAAATTAATGAATAAAAGAAGTGTTGTTACTCACTCCCACCAGCCTCTTAGGTATTGATTCCATTGAAGGGATACCTGAGGGTTCATGAAGCAACAACAATATCCTCCCTTTCCCCTCCCCCGCCCCCCTTCCCACCCCTCCCCCTCCCAAAAAAAAAAGCCAAAAAAAGAAGAAGAGAGAGAGAGGAGTTCTTAGGATAGGGATTTGGGCCCCTTGGGAGTTCTTAGGGCAGTTTTAGAGACATAAAGCTCCTGAAAATGAAAAAAATAGATAGTTACAGATTACAGAGACATCATCAAATTGCAACAAAACTCAGTGTCATATTAGTACATTAACATAACCATCAAAAGTCACAGACAAATCTATGTCATCACTCATAAACACCCCGAATAACTTAAAATGACAATTCTTTGTCACCCCGAGAAGAATTGATGATGATGACATGCCATCATCATTAGAGTCATCCCCCTCCTCAACATATTGAGCATCATCCCTTGTCTAATCTAAATCTGCTTCATCCTCGTCTCTCAATCCCACCAACCTCTTCCCTTTCTCCTTTCCTTCTCCCTCCCTTCCTTTGGCTTTAAGATTGAGATCAAGTGGTCCGCAGGGCTCAATGGTGTCCCAGCAGCCTCACGAACGTGGCCCTAGGTCAAGTCCTCTCTAGGGATTACCTCATCTTCCTGGCATCAATTATCCACTCGCAAGTGTCATCCATATCATCAACTTCAATACCCTCCCCTTCATTGTGCTTTAGCTGTTGATGGCACTCCTGCACCTTTTGGTGATACAAAACAAAGACTAGGTCGTGCAATTGCTTTTGCTCCTCTTCTTTGTATGGACCTATTAGATAAATTTTGAATTTGTATTAAAATTTAGAAAAACAGGTTAATAAACTAACTAGCTAACTAACTGACTGACTACTATAGTACCATGTAAGTAATATTACCATTTCAAACGTGCTGAAGTTGCACTCGCATCCAGATGAGCTACAAGTTAGATTCAATATACGCATTGGCATTTGCCGCAAATGTGGGGTGCTTCCCCAATGGTACTCCACCAAAGCTATTTTACATAAATGTAAATGTAGTACATAAGGTATCTATATAATTGAAAATTAATACTCAAATCATGAAATCAAAATGAAGAAATTCTAAACTCACTAGGAGAGATCTTGGTCCTCTGCCTTATTGCCAACTCCTTTCCAAGAGACCCAATAGAGTGCTTATACTTGTCTCACTCCGTTGTGACCTTGTCTTATACTTCAGGACCAGGTTGAGTTTGATATTGCATAGGTTGAAAGCTTCCATGAAATCAGTCTTGCTATGTACCTCATTTGATATTGCATTGGTTGAAAGCTTCCATGAAATCAGTCTTGCAATGTACCTCATGATCAATATAATAATGAGCAGGGTTAATGAAGTAACTTGCTAAGTGTAGGGGCCTCTCAAGCTAGTAGTTTCAATTATCTTCTATAATCGTCAAGTATTCTTCATACTTAGCTTCATCATTCCCAAAACATTTCTTGATTTTTCCTTAGCATCCTCCATCGCTTCATAAATGTGACCTATCGCTGGTTTCTTCTAAGTTTCAACCATCTTGATTACCTTTATTAATGTCCGAAAAACATATACGGCATACTAAACTCTATTCTAAAATCGTTACTCCATGACAATCTCCATAACTACTATATCCCATTTGATTTCTTGGCCCACTTGGACTTCGTCCAGTACTCAAATACAAACATTAACATCAGGTTTTCCTTTTTGTCCTACAAAGATTGCAAGGACAAGTGGGGGGTGGCAAATCTAGTCTCTCCAGGTCTCACCAAGTCTCTACCCTACCCAACATACTTTTCCCCAAGCAAACTTACAATGACAGCACATAATGACATAACATGTATGTATTCAAAACAAATGAAAGAAGTAATGACAAAGCATAGACATAGTATAAAAGTCATGTTCTTAGCTGAGTGTGATTGTATTATATAGACTGTGATGGTCTTCGCTTTTTTTATGTTTGTCTTCAGCGACTTCGTCTTACCAATCGCCTCAAGCATGAGGTCTATGCAATGTGTTGTGCAAGGCGAGCAAAAAATACACGGTCTCTTCTCCATTTATAACTAAGCTCCAAAAACCATCTCGAAGTATTTCTTTTGTTTCTGCAAGAAATTGAAAAAGTTGAAATTTTTTTTATCTTGCAAAAAATCTCAAATCGTAAGTTTTTTGAGAGTTTTCCTCTCTAATATGCACAAGAAGGGTTTTGGGGATTAGAATGTCCCTGCAACAACACCCCACCGCCCCCCTTTTTTTTTGTTTGAAGGAGGGGGAGACGGGGGGATGCCAAAAATGCCCCTAGCAGAGGGCATTTTTTTCCTCGGCCTCCTTGTCTCGGGGCATTGCCTAGACGCCCGCCTTAGGGCCCGTGCCTAGGCGGGTGCCTAGACACACGACAACTAAGTCCTACCTAGCGTTTTGGCCTACTAGCCATCTAGGCGGCTGAGCTACTAAATTTATAAACTTTGTAGGAGGTTACCCCCACTCAGTGTTTTAATGCGGGATGTGGACCCTATGTGGTCAGGGGTTTAATGCGGCGATGTGGTCCTGATGCGGGCACATCACCTCAAGTGCAGTCAATAAATTTTAAAAAATATAAAAATATTATAATGTATAAAGAAAATATAGATTTGATTTATGTGATTATAGGTATTTTAATTTATTCATTATTTCTAATATATTAGTTGTATGAGAGTCTTAGTCTCCTAATAGCCTTATAAAGAGTAATAGAGTTCATTGTTCTAAATTCTATAGCTTCTAATCTTTAATAGTTTAAATGTCTAATAAGAATCGGGCTTGGTCAAAATGGTAGAGGCTGAGTTATCATAGCACAACATCTCAAGTTCCATTCCTATGTAAGCTTGTCAAAAAAAAAAAAATGAAGAATAAAAAATAAATGTTTAATACAAATAACATGTAAAACAAAGCGATCTATTCCATCTCATATAACATAACCGAACTTTCAAACCTCACCGAGACATCCAAAATTCCAAACTTTAAATTTAAACTCCAAAAAGGCAACAAGCAAAAATTTATGATCATATAAAAAACAACAAAAGATAATAATCAACTCTCAAGATAAGCCCAAAATATCTTCAAAATAATGCCCAAAAATATCTCAAGGGTTAATCAAAAGAATCCTTTACCCTTTTTCAAAAACTTTGCGCTCAAGAAAAAAATCTAAATACGCTTTTGTTTTTGTTTTTAATTCTCTAAGAACCACCAAAAATGGTTCTAATGGGTTTTTGGGGCGCCGCATATGCGGGTGCATTACAAAATAACGCATATGCAGCCTGATATGATGTGCTTCAGGCTGCATAATGCGGGATTCAGCCCCATTTAAAAACAATGCATCCTATTTAATATATGTTGAGGTGATTTAAAACATTCAACTTTCAGCAGTTGTATCTTTGGCATCACAAAAATCCTCCATTTCCTTTCCACACCACTTATTTGTCCAATATGCTCTTGCTTGCAATTCCAGCTCTAAATGTAATGCTTTCTTTTCCGTTATGCTCAAGCAAGGCTTATAGGCCATTCCAAGGTGTGTTTACCATCCCGGTGTTTAACATCCCTTTCAAGTGTCATAGCCACATAAACTCTTCTCAACAATATAGTCACATCCATATTGAAGGGTGAGCATCATTCAGGCATTCATAGATCTTGGATCTCACATGCCAAGTAAAATCTGAGAAAATGTTCTTCTGCTTTTAAATGAGGAAATTGTCCATCTCTTTTTAGACATGATGACTGTACAGACCTTGCATGTAAATAAATAAAGTACTAATTTCTGAGAATTGGCAAAATATGCATAAAAATGATAAAAATATCCAAATCATTAAATCTGGATCTAATGTGCTGTGGTAATTTTTGTAAAGGCATATAGAAATGCACATTCTTTAACTTTTATGTATCATGTTTTACATATACTAGTTGTACTTGTACCAAACATTGTAAAAGTTGCCCATGTCCTGATTTTATTTTATTTTTACTCGCATAACTGCAGTTGCAGTCACCCACATGCATTTTCATGTAATTTATGTTTATTGATTACACTGCACATTCATTTTTATCAAACATGGTGGTTTTTGTTGTTGCAGATCTGCATCAATTGCTGCTTCTACTGCAGCTCGGAGCATTGCAGTTGATGAAGAAGATAGCGTTGATTCAGGCTCAAGTGGTGAACCAAGAAAGGAAGAACTGGATAAAGCTGTTGATAGCTCAGTACGTGCTGCTTACTTCTTAGGTTCATTTAGATAATTTTGTATTACTACTTGAGCAGTATATTGTGACTTTCCCTTGGTTGATTGGCCTTGTAGTTTTTCCATCTAGTGGATTTTCATAACCTGATAGTTTCTTTTTCTCTTGTTTGAGTTGGAAAATGTTTAGGAGGTTTTGTTGAGTTGATTAGTAATCTACATAACTTTTGTCTCACCTCCCGAAAGCTTGTGCCATGCAAGTGTGCTTTCATGGTAAAATTCAAGCTGAGACAATTATGTATGATGCTTCCAATTAGCTTGCCATCAAAAGGGTTACAGTGAGAAGCGAGAATTTGGCTGGATTTCGGTACTTACGAAAATAAATGTTTCCTATGCTTTACAAGTTCGCTTAATTTGGTGATTATGTTTGAGATGATTATTGAATGCTCCATGATTCCCTTTTTTGTCATTTGAAAATAGAATATGATGTGATGTACTCTTGTAGTTGTCTTTAAATAGTTGAAGACAATAGTTCGTATTTTTCCATTAGTAGAAATGATTTTCGATATTGTGATGGTTATCCAATGTGGCAGCTGTCCGCACTTTCGATATGTTGGGTCAATAATCCCATAAAATGAAGAGATCGAGGAAGATGTCGCACACAGAATTAGAGCTGGTTGGGCGAAGTGGAGATGTGCAACAAGAATTTTATGTGATCGCTGCATGCCAATGAGGTTGACGGGCAAGTTCTATAGGACAACAGTGAGACCAGCTTTGCCCTATGGGGCGAAATGTTGGGCAGACAAAAAACAATATACCTAGAGAATGAGTGTAGCGGAGATGATGATGTTGAGATGGATGAGTAGCAAGACAAGAAGGGATAGAATTCGCAATGAATCTATTCAAGAGAATTTAGGCATGGCACCAATAGGCAATAAAATGAGACAGAGTACACTTGGGTGGGCTGGCCATGTGTGGCACTGACCAAGTATAACACCTATTAGGAAGTACAAATTAGTTCAAGTGGAATGATTGAAAAAGGCAAGGGGTAGGCCCAAAATGACGTGGTTGGAAGTAGTCCAAAAAAATATAGGGACCTATGGCCTCATTGAGGATATGGCTTTTAATAGAGCAGAATGGAGAACCAAGATTCATGTAGCCGACCCCAATTAATTGGAAAGAGACTAAAACGAAGATGATGATCCAATGTAGCAGCTGTGTGACATTCCTTAATTAAATTTTTGTTTCCCCTTTTGTTTTCTTTAGGATTTAGGGTTCATTGAGTAATGCTTCTCACTTGTGTTAAAAAATAACCATGCCCCCAAATCTTTCTAGAACACAGTGGCTTATTGATTGTTACAATTTTGTTAGGGGATTGTTCTTTTCTCCTCATTTATGTAAAGGTCACTATTTGATCTTCCCAAGTTTTCCATTAAGATTAGAAGTTCATGCTCTCCTATTTTCAGAAAGATCCAAAATGCCATGTAATATCACCATATTGTAATCTTTTGTAAATTTGGTTCCAATGTCACCACTTGTGTTCTTTGGGAAATAACTACATATTGTAATCATTCAAAATTGAGATTCATTATTCATAAGATGAATGCGAAACCAGTTAACAGGCATTCAAAACTGAAATACTACCATACTCACACAAAATCTCATCCAATATTTTTTCAATTTCCCATTTATCCTTCATTATAAAAAAAAAAAAATTCCCATTTATCCTTCTGATATATTGGGCATTCAAAGCATAGTTATTGAGATTGTGAGTGGGAACAAGAGGGATTGTGAAAGACTAGAAGATCCCCATGGTTAGGAGCGTGATCCGCACAATGCATATGTTAGGGATCTAGGTCCCCAAATTTTAGGGATCTCGATTCTAACATTGTGGGAATCTTTCTCATGCAGATAGCTAGCTATATATTTATCAATGCTCTCTCACCTACACATGTATATCTAATTGCATTCTTTTATTTATTGATTCTTTTTTGACGATATTTTAACTTCGCTATGCCTTTCCAAGATTCCATTTGTGAGCTAGAAATTTATTTCTTTTTACTTCTTTTTCACTAAAGAGTTCTTTGATTGTAATCTTGCTCAGAGCCTATTGTACATATTTTTGCTATTTTTGGCATTTCTCTTATATGGAGAGGATCTAATGAAGACATGTTTGCATTGATGCAGGAGCCTGAAAACATTCCCCAGCCAAGTAAAGGGCGCAAAAGAGCAGCTCCTAGGGGCAGGGGAAGGGGTTCTTCCTTAACCCCAAAAAGAGGAAGGAAATCAGACAACTCTGTTATCCAGAAAATGTTTATGAATGATGACGACGACGATGAGGATGAATCATCCAACAGATTAAAGAAAACCCAACCTCAGGTAATCAATTAAGTTTCTCTCCTTTTCCTTTGCCTTTAGCCTGCCAAAGTCTTCAACTTCACTTGGTTCAAATAAATTTTTCATAAAATAACCATTTGTATATATTGCTACACTTTCTGGCCAATATTTTGTTTGGAGTCCCAACCCACAATGGTATTCAGACTCCTCAGGGGTAATGCTTGCCTCCCATTATTTATTTAATGAACTGTTTTAATAAATCCCAAGGATAGTTGCGCTTCTCAATCTTTAATGATTGCTAGAGCACCCAGATTGATACGAGATATGCAGTTTACATGAAATTCTGCAAAAGGCAACTGACATTTTTATTTATTTTACCATAATGGAGTGAAACTGAAATGCTCTTGTTTATCTTTGGACTTCCATTACTTTGCCAATCTTTCTCATGAAGCTTGTGCTGGCATCCACGTTTTAAAGTGCGTGCTGTTCTGGTGATCATGTAAGATGAATTATGTAGTCAAACTGGTTTTTCGTGAAGTGAGGATATCTTTCATAAAGAATGGCGAAAATACACTAAATTACTGAACAAATTCCATAGTGAATAGTCTGTCTTATACAATGGTTCTGGACAATCATATGTCATTTAGTGGTCATACTTGCTCATGGCATAAAAATATCAGATGACGTAAAAACCAAATTAATAATGATTTGAAAGATCTTCGCATTTATTACTCTGTTTTGTTTGCAAAGTATGCAACTACTTTGTTTCTGGAATCTGAAATAATAGGGCTCCTGATACTCTTAAGTGATAATGCATACTTTTTCCTCTGTTGTACAAAAATTGTAGCCTGAGCGCTATGGCATGTTATTGTTTGTAGCTTGGTTGTTTCTAAAATGTTAGGTCTTGGCTTTCACAGGTAACTCGGAATTATGGTGCTTTGAGGAGGGGAGGAAGGAATTAGAGATTGTTACAACTTTGGTTTTACATAACTTCTGTAACTGACTAGACCGGTTTACCAAGAGGTGCTACAGGTGAGATCCATATATTTATATGTTCTTCTTTTTATCATCATTCTTTTTAACATCTTTATTTCTTTCAGTGCCAATGTTTGGTTAAAGCCATGTCTCTGCAGATTTTCTCTAAAGCTTTGTTGTAATATGTTTCTTTGTATCTTTTGTAATAAGCTGTTCCGAGTTGCATTGATGCTTTTGCGATGCTCGCTGCTCCGATGGATAACGAAATCAAACTTGTGGCTCGCTTTGTGGAATCTGGGAGATACTTTTTGTGATTCTAAGCTTTTGCGTGTCTTTCAGTGTGAGCCACAAGAAGCAAACCTGATGAGTCCAAAGCTGCGGTTGAAATAGATATAATACTTCGTTATCAGCAAATATGTGCTTTTTCATATTTGAAAAACATTGGTGATGATACTAGGGATTGTTTGCTTCTCTTAAAAGCTTGAATCATTTTAGAATTGAGGTGGTTATTAGTACCTGAAATAGTTGAGAGAGAGAGAGAGAGGCCCTTTTCATTCATGATGGAAAGCAAAGTAATAATCGGAAAGTTTTGGAAATATTGTGGACATGTTTTTTAAAACCTAGCAATTTCTGATTTGGATCTCAAATTTAGATGGAAATAACTTGAGACCGAATCAGTTCTCGGATGGTATGGGTTCCAGCCGTTTTCCCTTTGAAACTTCTTATATATTAATTCTTCTTTTCATTTCTTAGTATTATTTTTTAATTTTTTTAGATCACTAATTTGGACAATTTTCAGCCCCGATTTGGATTGCCTATCCATTGATTTGACATAGTAAGAGACCTTGCACTAGTAATCGGTAGATATGGAAACCATTATCATCCTCCGCATCATTAGAGTTTTTTCCCAACTATTTGGGGTTGGTTGTATGTTCTTGGCCTGTCATTGTTCTATCGAGGGTTATGCTTTTAATGAGCTTGTAAATCTTCATATTTGTCTCACTAGTTTCAATCATGTCTTTTTAGGCTCACTTTTTACCTTTTTTTAGTCTATAAGTTATTAACTCGACTTCCAAATATTTGTTATATCAGATTTGTATTGTACCTGGCAAGCCTATTTAAAGTCTACTCTCTCTCATTTTATCGTCTATTGATGTCACACTTAAGTTCTTTCTAATGTATTCATTTTGAATTATATCGTCTCGTCTTGTCATTCATCCATCTCAACATTCTTATCTTAGCTATATATATTCTATGAGTATGTTGTTTTTTGATTGCTCAACATTTCGCCCCACAATGCAAAGTTGATCTCACAGTCGTTCTATAAAACCTGCCATTTAGCTTTATTGGTATGCAACAATTACATAAAACTCTATTTGCACATCTCTACTTCGTCTGCCCAGCTCTATTTTTATGTTCGATATTTTCATTAATCTCTTTATTTTTTTAGATTATCGACTCAAGATATTGGAAGTGTATTTTTTTTGGTATTTTTTGGCTGTCAATTGTAATTATTTTTTTGTTTCTAGTCTCTACTCTTATCATTTCTAAACTTGCATTCTATGTATTATAACTTAGTCTGCTTAATTTTAAAACCTTTAGGCTCTAGAGTTTTCTTTCAAAATTCTAACTTATGTGGACACCGTTTCGGGTCTAATCGGTAGATATGCTAATAATCCAGGCAATCCCTAGTAATTTGAAAACCAACAAGTTGGCTCTAAATCCCTCAGGCCAGCTTCGAACCAATGGGTGGCAGTCTTGGTCTAAATTCTCCTTGGACTCACCTAGTTCCGAACTCTTCATTTTTTTATTATTTTGGTTTCACTATCAAAGTTTCCCCTGAAAAGTGGGCTGTTCCGAATTGAATTTGGATCAGAATTGGCGGGGGCCAGTCCTCTTTTTGAAATCACGGACCGTATGAGGAAAGGGATGTTTTGGCAATTATTGCGGACTTTTTGCAAAAATGTCCACAGGCCACTTAGCATAACACAATCCCATGGTCCCCTCCTTGCTCCGATCAAGCGTTAGGAATCAAAGTACGAGTCTCGCCCTAATGTTTGTTGGGCTTTTGCCATCAGCACCTTGTCGCACTTGCGAATGTGAGTCAATTTCACAACGATGAAAATTAGATATGCATTATTCTCTCTCTCGTCCCCCACTTCTCTCCTCTCTCCCCCAAAAAAAATCCAAAAAAACATAGACATGGGGACAGATTTTAAATTGTTAAATAGTTCACCTCTCCAAGGGCCGAGATGCACTTCGACAAGTTTCCCAAGCCACAAAAATGTGTGAAATAATAACAGAAAAAAATCAATTTCATTACAAATGCCAGTACTTCCGAAGAAACCTACCATTGAGAGAGAGTCAAATGTCCCTTCACATTCAAATGAACAACATAATTCTGAAAAATGGATAAAAACAATGTTGTCTAATTGGCATCGTACTCTTCTTCGATTTGATGAGAAAAATGACGCAATTTGGTGTTTCGGCCGATCTCGAAAAAAGACTTCGGTTTTTTTTATTATTTTAATATCAATAAATTAGATATATATTTCCCAAGCCATATAAATATGTGAAATAATAACAGAAAAAGATCAATTTCATTATAAATAAACCAGTACTTCTGAGAGAGAGTCAAATGTCCCTTCACATTCAAATAAACAATAGAATTCTGAAAAATGGATACAAACAATGTCGTCTGATTCGCTTCGGACGCTTCTTTGGTTTGGTGAAAAAAATGAAGCAATTTGGTACTTCGGCCGATTTGTGGGAAGACTTCGATCTTTTTATTATTATTATAATATATATATATATATATATATAGTATAGTAATGATCCTATGAGACCCTCCCACACTTATGTGTGTAGGACCTCAAAGGATCACCATTAAATTTGGCATAGATCTCTCGAAAAGTCAAGTCTCACACCCATGTGATAACTTTTCTAGAGATCTCTGCCAAATTTAATGGTGATCCTTTGAAGCCCTATACATGGGTGTGGGAGGGTCTCATAGAATCATTACTCATATATATAATATATACAACTAGTAGAAAAATAAATAAATAAATAAAACATTTATATAGCTATTTCTTTGCTACCCGAAGCAATCCGAATCTGACCGAAGCAACCCGAATCTGACTGAAGTGGTAGCACCAAGCTTCAATTCTCTTCGATTTATGCCTAAAATCCGAAGGCTTCGGTCTCTTTGGCCGAAGCGAAGCACATTTGATAAAAGCGCCCGTTGCTTTTGAAAAGGATTGATCTTTAACTCACTGAATATTCCTATATAACAATTTGCATAGTTGATGACCTGTGTTACACAGTGAAATGGGAAGATTAGAATTCCAACAGAACTTTGATGCATATGCTACAACCTGTATTCATTGTTGGCAATCACATACGTTTACAAGCATGTGTGCAACATGTCGCATGCGATTGCAAAAGGCTGAAGAGCATGTATGAAGGGCAACCTGTTTATTCTACTGCTTTGCCATATTTATTCTTAAGCATGTGCGCAGCATGTTACATGAGACTGCAGACTAGCGGTTGATACAGAAGCATCTGGTTTAATGCCAAACCTTGGCAACAATTCATATGAAAACTCACCGTATTTTTCTTCTTATTATGTACAAAAAAGTTAGAATCCTCTCCACTGCTAGCCCTAACGGAAATATACATTTCGAGCTCCATTCACAGTTCTTCCTTCTGTAGTTTCAGTATTCCTAGAGCCTTTTCCCTGTTGAGAATATGATAGCATTCAAAATAGTTAGAACGGAAATCCAAGAGAATGTGAGCTGATCTGAGAAAAAAAAGCACTTACACAATTTGAACAAAAGGAGAATTTCATGATGACAAATAAGAATGGGGAAGTATATCATAGTTCAATTATCCAATGCAGTATGGTAAGCAGTACTCCAAGCGGCGGGCATCCACTATCTATTCTAGTCTTCTAGATGACAGGTGGAGATTAACTATACCTGTGTTTAGGTCCAGGGTCCCCAATTGCTGTTCATCAGTTAGCAGCAACAATGGTAGATTCCCTTTGGAGAATGGTATATCATGCTCCATTAGGTTATTACGAATAAGAATATTATAAGATGACGATTATCCACAATCATATAAAAACAAAGAATCACATATTGATTGCACTTTCAACATCATGGGTATCAAGACCTACCGGGCAATCTCATTGTCAATGGTGCCTTGGCCCATCTAGTCAAAAGCAAAAGCTGGGATTAGTCCAAATCAATCAAAACCAGTGTTTGACTAGTTTCGACTGGTAGGGCCAGCCAGTTTTGACCGGTTAGACCAACTAAACAAAGTTAGGCGACATTTTTTATGATATAGTTCATAATTTTATTCTTTTTATTATTAGTCAAACCGATTTTCACAAAAGCCCCTCCTCACCCGATTCAATAGCCGATTTGACTCTAATAACACTAGTGAACATCGAAACAACACAGACAAAGCACTGCATTGGAAAATGGAACTTCCAGGTGATGGAATGGGCATAAAAGAATAATCAATTTGATATTTCATGTCTATGTGTAGCATGCATAATTTCCAGAAGCAGTAACAATGACATAGTTGCAAATTGTGCTGAAATGTTGACTAGTAATTCAACTCACTATAATAAGGCCAAGATGTTAGAATTAGGGGTTTACAATACCATAGATCATAGGACAAGTTATCATGTACTGACAAATATTGGTGCATTAGCTACCAAACGTGCTGTTTTTTATTTTGTTTTCCTTCTCTGGTGAATAAAAGAAATGCTTAGGTTGCAATGAATTCTAATTTAGTTGTTCAAAAAGAGTACTAAGGAAAAATAAGATAAGAAAAATCTACACTGTATTCACTTGCACAGATTTGACAGAATCTACATGGCATGACATGCATAGATCTGCACCCTCATACGAAGCTTGATAAAGTCTGTGAAGACTTGGTAAGGTAGAGGTCCAAGGACAATAATATATTTCAAATGAACATCATTATCTTTCTTGAATATGCAGGACTGCTGAAACCCAAGCATTAACTTTAAACCTTCACCAAAAAGTAAACATAAATAGATGCCACTTTTCGCAAAGGTCCCAATCACTGAAGGACCCCACCGTTTAGGTGACTCGGCCAACTCACTTGTTTACCAGCATCCCCCCTCCAAAATCCATTTTAGAGATGGATTTCAAAATTTAGGGGATGATTATCTCGACCATGGTGATCATGAATCTAAAATGCACAAATAATTAACATTTTAAAATGGTTTTTTTTTTTTTTGAAAAATGTTTTGCACCCATTTATTTTGACCTTTTTATGAAACCATTTTTGTTGCAATTGGGCTTCAATGGAAGCTTGATATTGGAAGATGCAGTCGAAAAACTGCATCCCCTGTCGCATTAAATACTTTTCCAACACTAAAGAGATGCAACCACCTCGAGGTATATCTCTTTCTCCTTGAAATACTCATAATGTTCGATATGTTTCAAATTCCCCAAAAAGCTCTCTCTCGAGAAAGTATATTTGAGATGTGCTATGGGAGAATAAACTCACTCAAAGGTCCCGTAATGCTATATGTCAGCCAAAAGCATATAATTAGTCCAGACTAATCTGACAATACCACAAATCAGTCACTACACATTTTCAGCACAAACTATACCAGTCCACAAAACAGAAGTGGGAAAGAGGTGCAATAAATGAATGGGACAGGTTGGCGCAAGGTAAATTCTCTATAAAGGTTTCAAACAAGTGGTAATCATATGTAAAACCAGATGCATACAAAAACAGGCACCCTAGTAACGGCATGGGAAGAATATAGAAGAACATTGACTTTCAAGTCTCTCCAGTAATTCACATGACTACTTGATGTCAAGCTGAATTATCCCAAAAAGTAAATAGTAATCCAACTCATTACCCCAGGTCCACCCAATTCACCAAGGACCCTAACATGGTCAATGACCAAATTTCCATCAACATAAATCCATATTACCCCAATGGAGCCAGATGAAATGGTGCGACTACTGACCCTTCCAAAAGAATACTTGTAGAAACTTAGCAAGCGTCTCTTGCCTGTTTGATAGGTGACAGAATGAGTACTATACTGGATGCGCCAGTTCTGGCACTCAAAAACAATGAGCACATTGAGGTTGATAGCCACTTGATCAAGGAGTACCCCATAAAATCATCATGAAACAAGATCTATTTGTGACCTCCTACGTGCTGATTTCCAAATACAATGCACATAACTCCAGAAAGGCACCGATTTATATTGGCAAAGATCATAGATTTGAATCGCTAAAGGGCGTTGTGCAACAATGTCAGCTTAAGGGAAAAACTTGCTAGACAAAAGGGCATTTCTTGTACAGGAGTGATTTGGCCATTTCTTCTCTTTTCTTGCAGTAAGAGTTTAATCAATAAGTTTACCCAAGTGAAATGTTGCATGTGTATTATTTTTCAGAGTAAACTTGTTGGATCATAAGTTTTCGTTGTCATTAGTTCAAAAGTCTAGGTCTTCTTTGAATAGAGGGTTGCCAGATAGCAAATACAGAAGGTTGCTGCTTGGTAGTCTGAATTGTGTTTTTGAAGGTTTGGGTTTGCTATTGGTGTTGATAGGTTGCAACTCTGATAAGGTGCAACTGTGGTACAAACTTTGCTAGACTGCCATTTGAGCAATCTGAGACTAAGCTTATGATTCCCATTTTTTCAGGGAGTCCTGTAAAGACAAGTCACATCGAATGTGCACAAAGTCACAATGTAAAAATATATAGACATAGGGCACAAGTTTCGTGTGCATATCCTGTTTATATACAGAAAACAACACAATGACACCCATTAGGGCACAAGCACAATGTGTGTGTGTGTAAACAACACAATGACACCCATAAAGGCACATGCACAATATGTGTGTGTGTGTGTGTGTGTGTGTCAGATGATATTCATAGTGTATACGCAGAGCAATTTGAATAGATGCATTTATTCTTGTTTATACAATACAGTATTAGCATATGTGACAAATGTTTGCTGAGAATAGGTCCAAAAATTTGTTCAAAAGGACTAGCATCTATCTGACTATCACGAATTTGGAAAGTTTGGGGGAGGGATGCTAGAAGGTGTGACTGAAACAGTACACTAAGGTACCCGCATAGACAAGTGTTATCCATGACAACGTAGATAAAGCAAATTGTAAAAAAATATGGCAGGAGGACATTACATGTTTCATAATTAAGAAAAGTAAATATAAAATTTTAGTTAATGAATGATGATGACATTGTGGCCTTCCCTTGTACTAGTTTTTAATATTTTTTGGCTCTTTTGAGGAGAAAAATGTGACTTTAAGAATGCTGTCATGGTTCTATTTTTTATTTTGTATTTGTGGTAGAAAGTAAAAAAATAGCCTACATGGTCTTTGAACTTTTGTTAATTAAAAATAGGTCTATTTGGTATTTTTTTAAGTCAAGTTGTTGAGGTGCATCCAGCCCCTTGATGTTTATTTTTTATAATTTTGGGGCGTGGGATTTTTCTGTTTTTGCAGGCAGGGGCCGGGGTGCAAAACTAGAAAGGGCATCTAGAATTCTCAAATTGAAGGCTATAGAGAAGGCTTACTACCACTTCACAAGGTCTCCCCCCCTTGTGGGTAGGGTGACAATCCCGCTTCAGAACCTCGATCCCACGATTCCTATAAGGGATCTTGTAGGGACCCCGGTTTTTCAATTTTGGGATCTCGCTCTCAAAAAAAAAACGGACCACGTTCCATCCATCAATGGAATCCAGTTCCATTTCGAAATAGATCCCCACTCCCATCAACCAGGGTCCAAGGTTTTGGTACATTAAAATCTTGAGTTTCATGTTTGTGGGATCTACTTTCATTAACGTATGATAGCAGGTTAAAGATTGTCATTGTCCCAAGTTCACATTATTTAAAAATCATAAGTTCCATGACGGTAAAATCCAGTTCCTTTTTTGTATAGTATGAAGTTCTATTATTTTAGATTCTTAATTTAAACTCGACATAGTCTAGAGTGACCCATTGTTTTATTACATGCTATTATGTAAGCCATCCCTCTTAGTTGTGAGAATATATATATATATATATATATATATATATATATATATCATTTAAAATCTTATATTTATGATGTCCTATTGTTTTAAATTCTTAAATCACAATGATGAATCCTCTTAGTTGTGATATGAGAATATATGCTTTCATTTCAAGCTTTAAAAAACTTCTTTTACATCTACGAGAGAGAGTAGTTCATCTTGTCCTCTTGCCCCTTTGGAGAGCCAGCCTTTGAGAAACAATGGAAGCAGAGGAAACTACATTTTGAATGGTAGGATTCTGGGTTGCTGGGGACTTTGAGGGAATGGTGCATGCCAAACTTGTGTCATGGCCTGAAGAAGTAGTGGGAGGGACATGCCTTGGCAATGGAGCACTCTAATGAGCCTCATCATCAGCATCATGGTGGTCGCCTAATGCTTCTAATGCTCTAACATCATCTTCGAGGTGGTCATCATCAGGATGAAAATCCCATCCTTTGTACTTCTCTGCATAGTCTGATCGCAACCTACTTAATAACTTGTTATTGTGGTGAACATAAACCAATGACTCGGAGCGTTGAACATTTAACCTGTTTTGCTTAATTCTATGAATATAATTTATACGTACTCCAGCACCTCTCAGCACCTGACGAGTTGACATTCTGAGACAATACCTTAACAACTAGTGAATATAATTTCGGAACC